AGGACTAAAAGGAGAATAGGGCACATATCTCGGTTTATAGTATGTTTATATAAATGTATTATTAATAATTATTAATTTTAGTGTTCTTCAAGCAAAACTCACCCTCCGTTGAATTAATATCATTGCTATACAATTCCCCAGTTCCAGAAATCTACTGTGTACCTTAAGCATTATAGCAGTTCAGCTTAGTCTGTAATCGGATCTGATTCGTTCAAGGAGTGAATATTGTTTGATTGTTGACGACTTACCTGAAAAAAAAAACGAACTATGTATAGATTTAACTGAGAGAGATAAACACGTCAAAGTTTCGATAGCCAGGTTAATACGAACGTTAATAGCAGTATTAGATATTTTATACAGTTCGAAAAGAACCATTACAATAGAAACTAACTATTAAAACAGAAATCTAAAAGAAGCCAAATTATAATAGACCACAAAATGAAGAAATAAAATTATATTAAAAATTGCAAAGTTAATTTTTTGATTTGGATATGCCCATATGTATATTTTTCAATTTTAGCTTAAATTGTCAGAACCGGTGTTAAAAAGCATTTCTATTTGATTTTCTGTTTACCTGTTACGTGTTTTGTCTTTTTCTTCACATCTTAACCCGTTTATTAAATGGAATCGAAGAATTTTACAAAAAAAATTGAGATTAAATTATAAGTATTAAAAAAATTAAAGTCAATATTGGGTGTTTCCTTTCCTATTCGTTATAATCGGTTCACATCGACCAGGCTTGATCGATAAAAGAGGCATCATTTTCTTTTGGGTGAAGGTCTGGACTGAGTGGAGGCCAGCCCAAAGCCTCATTGAAATAATAAATGAAACTAACCAAAACTGGATTTTCTTTAACTACTCTTGCATATGCCTAAAACGTATACGTCGAATTTTGAAAAGTACAACTTAATTTTAAACTTCAAAGGCTCAATTGTAATATATAAAAAAATAGTTTTGGTCAGTTTTAGTCGGCACCATTTTTAATTTTTTGTTTTCATTTTATTATACAAGAAATTAACTCAAATTTTTCAAGTAATAAAACTTAAATTGAACTGAGGTGGCTTCTACTCGATGAAAATCCATTTTTCAAAATAAAAACTAAAAGTTCAGATTTTCACGAAATTATATATTTTTACATGACAATTGTTTCGACAACACCGTGTCTTTATCAAATCACATTTATCACATTTGATAAGCCACCTAAGTTCAATTTTTGAAAGAAGCTGAAATTGGTTTCCTGATATAAGTTATTCATCTCTGTGGAATAGATACTTAATTAAATAATTAAAAATCAGGATAGCCACTACGTAAATGCAATCATCATTTTTTGTATTATGGTCAACCCATAATGTGCTACAGACATTGTCCCAAAATGACTAAATATTTGAAACCCTACATAAATGGATTGAAAATATTCTGTTTTGGGTTAGATTAAAACCTGCGCATTAAAATTTCTTCAAGGGTCTAAATTACTTAAAAATTGCGGTAATTAATTTAATATTAGCTAATTCCGGGAAGCAGCTTCAAATTATTTTAAGCCGATAAATCATCACCCCTTACCGCCCGTCTATATAATATAAAATAAGTCTGACGCCATCGTTCCGACCTCCAGATACTCCACCATGTAAAACAGAATGATTTAATTACAACATATTGTTTTTACAAATAAATTGCCAATAAATTCAAATTTAATAAATTATTTAAAGATTATAAATATATATTAGGGAAGTGTTTTAAAAATATAAAGGTTAAATATTAAATATTAAATAGGTCTATTCAGGTATAATATAGTATTAATAGAAAATACAATGACACTAAATATGTTGTTGTTATTCAAAATCTAAATCTGTTTCACTCTCCAAGCAGCTATTAAGCTAATTATTTCCATGCAAATGCCAGAATTCTTTCAGCTCTTAATTACTTATTAATTATTTAATTAAATTTATTACACTGGAATTTAAAGAGTATCATTTTCTGCTCACATTCAGTTTAGGAAGACGTAAAACGGTAGTGCTCCATGTTATCAGCTAAACTCATCACATACATATTATTTTTTAATAGCATTATGAATTTAACATACAAAGGTTACCGTTTCTTGTAACTGGATCATTTTGGAACAAATAAATATTCTTGCAATTCAGTTTTTGTACTTAATGAATTTGGTGCTTTTTGTAGCATGCGGCTGTGATCGCGTGCGTAATCTGTTATTAATATTAATATCATTATTATTATTATTAATATTATTATTATTATTACTATTACTATTATTATTATTATTAATCACGCCCAATGAGGCAACCTCTTTTCCAGCAATGTGGTCAAGGATCTAATCCCCACTATTAGAAAATCCAATGATCCCTATGCGTATCTAAAGAAATTCTCTACCAGTAAATCTTGCTTTTCGAGTCCGGTTTCAGAAAGCCAAATACATGACACTATCCATGGGCTCATAGACTTTGTGAGTAGGGTGGTCCGGGGGTATGATGATGGTGAGATTTCGAAATCCCTGTTTATAATCCTACAAAGTTCTTTGACTGTGTCGACAACGTCGTACTATTGAATAAATTAGAGTTGTACGGCGTCATGGGTATCTTTCTACAATTAATAGAGTCATATCTAGACAGCAGGTTTCAGTACGTTGAGAGGAGCGGCGTGTCAAGTGATAGCGTTCTCCCAGTAGTCTCCGGCGTTCCTCGGTACTGGGGCCGCTGCTCTTCATTATTTACATAAATGATCTGCCGCTGTCCATACCCAATGTAAACGTGATCCTGTTCGCAGATGACACTGCTGTTCTCTCAACGGCTAGGAATCATAGAATGCTTACTGAAAACGTTGATGAGACTGTGAGGGTCCTTCAGCAGTGGTTCTCTGCAAACAACCTAGTCCTTAACCAACAAAAAACTCAAGAACTTACGTTCTCTTGTAGCAAAGTAGACTTTCTTCATCAAGACAATATTACTCTAATGGAATTTGTTATTGACAGAATTCTGTCATGAACCGGTGACATTGACGAAGTCTGCGCCACATTGTCCCGGCGTTTGTTCCTGTTAGGACATCTCAGCCACTGTCTAAGAACGGCCTAGTTCGGTCTGCTGTGTGTTGTCTTACGGAGTTGTGTTGTGGGGTGGGGTAACATGCTCGGAAAAAGCCTTACGTTTGCAAAAGAAAGCAGATTTGGAGATTATGACGCTGCCCTCTACCTACATCTACAGATCTGTTTTATACATTCATGATAATGCTGATTGTTATCGCACACTAACTAGTAGACATGAGTATAACACCAGGCAAGGTGACTTGATCGCCCTACCGTACTCTAGACTGACTTCCTCGCAAACTAATAAAATCAATGTAATGTAATCAATAAAATCTACCAACGAGACAATTTAGGCAGAAAATGAAAATTTTCTTTATAGAGAATCCCTTTCATGGCACCCATGAAAATTTTGAGCTGCTTAAGCATGCCAATATTTAGTAATTTATGACTTTATCTATATGTTTACTTTCCACTTTATGTATTATTTACATCTTATCTATTATCTTGAACTATTTTGTAAAATTTAGTGCAACAATGACACTTTTAATGTTCTTTGCTGACAACAGCAAGGAGTTTGGAACAAGTCCCTCTTCTGATCCAGTGTGGATTTTCTTGATGGCGTTTTCTTTTATTTGAAGGTGCCTGTGTCCGACAATTTTTAATGGAACCAATCCACCCTTTGGATAGTATATTATGTGTATGGAACCAAGCTGTATCTAGGTAAATTATACCCCTCCTTTCGGATCTATACTTTTTAATTTCATGAAGGTATTTAAATCTCCTGTGCAATTTCATTATATTCCACCTGTTTTTTGTCGATTGAGCGGTATTTAAATTCGATTCTATAACGGAGGGTGGCATGGCTTATAATTGTGTGGATTTTCCCTTCTACTAACTTCTTTCTCAGTTTATCCAAAGCAGGAACAATCTGGTTTTGATAAAACAGATTCCTCCCTATAATTTCTTATACAGTATTGTTGAGACGGTGAGATTGAAAATTACTACGTTTTTTCTTTCATTCACTTTACGCACTGTATTTAACTCGTTATTCATTGTTCGACACCAACTAACGTTACAGTAACCATTGCTGTCGAACTGAAGTAACTTTTCGCACATATTTCTTCACCTTTTCACGCTAAATTTGTTGATTTGCGCCAACCACTCGGAAACCATCGATACACACCCCTATAATAATACAGTCAATTAACTTCGACCCCTGCTTGTCGACGGGCGCACAATTTCCAATCGGTCGATGTTTTGCCCGTCTTGGTGTATACTTTGAAACCGTTCTATTCTCCGCACTGGCCGAAAAGACGTTTTTGTTTCGGTCAGGTCTCAATCGAACCAGGGTAAAATCAGTTTTTGATTAATGGTGTACGTGTACGCCACTGACGTGGGGTGTGTCCGATTTTGTGAAAATGACCATTTTGATTAAATTGTCAACTTCAGGATGCATTCAAAACGGAATCGTTTACTACATGAAGATAATAAATTGCAAATTACAAATTAAAACAATTTTAGGATTTTAATAGACTGGTTTCATAACAATTTTTTTGGAAACCAAACCAAACCAAAATCGGGGAATAAAAATTAAACACGGAGAAAGGATGTTGCCAAATTTCACAACAATATTTCCACCGATGAACGAAGGCATTGTAATGTTTCCGTTTTAAAGTGATGCAAATATCTTAACGGGCTGAGACAACCTTATTACGAATAAACGCTTACGTCAATATAGGCGGGTTTTTTAAGTGCGTCTCGCACTTAATCTGTGTTTACTTATTTTTTGTGAGAAACGTGAAAAAGTGTTAAGTGTTAATCACATCACTAGGTGCAAATCCTTGACACAACAAAAATATCACCGACTAGCAATATAACAAAACATACTACTGTATTATCTATAACTAATGAGAAAAAGCAGTTTAAAAGAATAATAAAAGACCGCACACCACATATACAAACTTACCGATCCAAAGGGCGATAGTAATACCTTCTCATATTACTCACATCTCACAATCAACGAGCAAAACCAACGGCCAACAAATATTCCCAGATATCCTCACATCTATTTGAAGAATGGCAATAATTTTCCCATAATTTTGCGAATTCCGGCGAATGATGATTACTTGGTCGTGTAATTACCCAGCCGCTTATACAATTTTCTTATTACCGCGGATAGTGGCCTGCGACAGGACTATAAAGAAATCGAATGTCAGCATACGCTTATTACCTCGGTCTAATTACGTACATGTTGCGAAAGGGTTATAACAAAATGCATTTTAGTGACGGCGACTTTAATGCTTGACTGGGCAATGGATCCATTCTTTGACTTACATTTTGTATATTCGCTTTATCAGGTGTTACCATGCTCAACCATTTTACTAAATTATTGAGAAATTTATGCAAAGACAGGTAAATAAAAAATAAATAAAATGTATTGTTAGCAACCAAAACACTAACACTAACAATTTTCGAAGATCTCAGCGCTTTTTCTTTTCTTTTTTTTAATTCAACGTCCTATACCGATATTCAATAAAACACCTTATTCTGGTTACAATTACGAATTTTATATTTTTTTCCATTCGTTTTCGGTCAAGGTCAAAAATAGGTGATTTTATTTTATTACATCTTACAAATGAAAGATAATAAAAATAAATTAAATTCTGTTAATGTTCTAATGTGATGTATTTGACGAGCATTTCAATACATTTTGCGTAAAAAAATAATGACTTTCAGTTAATTTTTGACCTACCAACAGCGGCCTCAAAATAACCCACTCCAAACATTAACCCACTGCTACCATTGGCTTTTTATTTCGGCGAGTATCGCGTATTTAGCCTATTACAGCTTTTTTTTGTAGTGAACGAACATTCATCGGTCCATATAATTTTTTAAAGTAATATTTTCGTTATATATGTTTCATAATTTCAAACAAAATTATATTCACCCTTAATATTGTTAATTTAAATGCAGTATAATTATATTTCTATATATTATAAAACTGAGTGGATTGAATTGCAGGAAATACCTGTCTCATGTGGTAACAGAAGAAGCCGGATGTGCTTCCAGGATCCCTGATAATTTGTCTCATTTTTTTTATTCAAAACACCTTTATTCGGACTTTTTTGATTATTAACACGTAAGGTATCACTCACAGTGACGAAGAACGAAGTGCAATTTGCACATGATTAAAGTTGTCAATGGAGATTCTGTAATGGAGTGAGCCGGAATTTCGAGAGAAACCAGTACCGATTTAATATTTCGAAAATCTCGAGGACATTTTTCAAAACACTGTGGTTTCTTATTCCCATTTTATCGGAGAAAGATTTTTAGTATTTTGTTCGTAAATATGTGTATTCATTAAAAAATAGCTAAATTTCGATATAATAAAATTGAAAGCGGATGAGGAAATAGCAGTTATTATTGGAAGTGTAATATACAGGGTGTTCCATTTGATTTTTTCAAGAGAATGAATATTTTTCATTTTGACTCACCTGGTATAAAAGATTCGAAACAAGTTCAAGACAAGTACAAGATAAATGTAACACTTTATAAAGTGGTTGGCATAATAAAATTACAGATGTCGGAATAAACAGGGTATTTTTGACGAAAAGTTGGCCATAAATCCGAAAACATTCACTATAGATCATAAAAACCGTACATTAGTCATAACATAGAAGGCGTTCCATTAAAAAATATACAAGTGTGGTTTTCCACATATTTAAAATCCACCCTGTTTTCTTTTAGCTTCTTTTAGTCTCATCTATAACTTTTGCATTTTTCTTGAAAAGAAGTAATAAACGAGATATATTACTTTAACACACTATTTGGACTATTGGACTATTTGATCGAATGGTGATACCAACTTCATAAACATTGTCGCCGAACTACTTTACCCAACAGCTTGATCTGCGAATTACACATCGGGAAGAAGTTCCCAAGAATTTGTTACAAACCTTATTGATCTAGTCAATTTTTGCACGATGAGGCCAAGGTGACGTTTATCTGTTGCATTTCCACTGCTTAATCCGAGGCATTCGCTTTGAAACCGCATATTTTCAATAAAAATAGAGATAATGTGGTGATCAAAAAAACAAAACGTTCAGAAAAATGATTCTAATGATTCCAATATGATCTCAATTTTCCAATTTCCAAATTTCGGGAAAAAGTGTGTCTCAGTGATACATCCTTAATATGGTTAGTTTATTTAGTTGTTATATTATAGTTATATTCGAATCTGAAAAAAAAATCTGAGATAGCACGCTTAATTTATCTACAAATAAAAAATAATCAAAGTCAAACAAGCGATTAATTAGGAAGCCAACTTCGAAAATAGCCAAATTATACCACGCTTAATTTAAAAAATCATTGAAATAACCTTACAAAGTACCTGTAAGCAAACGCCAAATCCCAAAAATCCCAAACAGGTAGAAGAATCAAGAAGTAATATAAAGAATATATTATGACAGTTATCTAAGATTAGTATTAACGTAAGTGTCAAAAAATAAATATATATAAATAACTTGTGTTTCATTTAAAAAATATGAGTTGCTTAAAAAAAAATTCTAATCCTACTTTTCAGTGCTGCAATTTAAAAACTTTTATTAATATAAATTGTACGCATGGTTAAATAACTAGCAGTTTCAATCTGTGCATATATTTTTAACTTTGCTTTCTAAATCGATGATTACGACGCGCCCCCTATGCGTCGTAATCATCGGTAATCATCATTAATCAGATATTAATTAAAATACGGATAATAAGTTCAATAACAATTTCATATTTGAAAAGATGAACAGTTGTCTACACAGGGTTGTACAAAAAACTCGTAACGGCCAAATTTTTCAATTTTGCATTTTTTTTTAAACTTTGCTTCTGCCTGGATAATTAACACGTTAATCGCCACGATAATATCAGAAAAATTTTCACATGGGCCATGGTAACTTTATTACATTATTTAGTTAAAAAACGTATCAAGGAAATTTAATGTATCACAAAAAAAATATTTCTGCCAAAATTCTCTTAAAAACACTATTTTTTATGTCACACATCTGACTGACATGGCCCTATATTAAAACTTTTTTTCTCGACAAGCCGTGTCAGTCTTATATGTTAGAGTACTAACCACAAAACATGCTCCGGATATAAACGCAAATTCTGCTGGCACAAGTCGACAAAAAAATAAACAAAAGCCACTCCCAATTTGGGAATATAACAAAGGAAAGCAGGGATAGATATTTCTGATTCAATGGGTTCCTATGCAACTATTCTAAGAAAAGGAATAAAATGGTACCGGAAGTTTGCAATAGAATATCAGTAGTAAATGCTTATATAATATATAAAATCAATAATAAAAGTAACATAGGAATTAGACAATTTCGGGAAAATTTGGTCTCTGAAATGAAAGAAAATAAAAAGAATGTGCACTGGACGTTACGCTCAAATAAAAGAAGCAGAAGGTCGAGATGCGGCAAGAAAAAAAGGAAAAAAAAAATAACGTACTGCTCAGACTGCGAGCAACAGCCCTTTTTTGCATAGAATGTTTCGGATAGCATAATAAATGAAAATACTTAATTATATTGAAATAAGAAATATTAAAATGTATTTTTTCGACTCAAACAATATACCATTATATAACTATGTTTTATTTCATTTTATTGTTTGTAGTAAGTGAAGAAATTTTCAGGTTTTGTTTCTAATAGGCCAAGCTTTAGAAACATAATGCAAATGTGTCGTTTGAGTCGGACATCTGTGATTGACGTGGCCTTCTACCAACTCGCGTACATCAGACATATATGTCTGACATGGCTCATATAGAACTTCTTAGCGTCAAACACATATGACCGACATGGCGATTGACGTTTCAACTAACCAAAGCTCGTGACTTTAATGCCGTTTATCAAACTTGTTGTATAATACACTATTGCCGGCCTTTTTTTGTTACTTTTGGGACTGTTTCAAGTGTAAGTTGCCTTTGGAATTGGTTTCGTTGTAACTAAATAATAATAATTATAATTTTTTCAAAGTGTGACACAGATGCGTCCGATTCTGTATTGCTAGGAATTGCTGGTTCTTTGGAAGTTTTAGCGAATTTCGAACTCCTGTAACAAGTTTCTCTATATTTTTTTAATAATTCAATTTTTTGATGCGTGTCTGTAAAACAACAGTCTATGAAAATCAAAATAAATAAGAACTAAAAGTTCAGATGTTCAGATGTCGATATCATTTGATAAAGACACGGTGTTGCCGAAACAATTGTCATGTCATAATATATAAGTTCGTGAAAATCTGAACTTTTAGTTCTTATTTATTTTGATAAATGGATTTTCATCAAGTAAAAGCCACCTCAGTTCACGAGTCTATGTGTAGAAAAAAATAACGAAGGAAAGAGAGAGAAAATATGAATTATTTGTAAAATTTTCACTGGACACTGAACCATTTTTTTATTCAAGTAATAAGTATATAGGCTGAATGGAGGAAAACAGGTACCTAAACTTCTCCGTTAAAGTCGTACTTTGTTTTCTGCGTAATTTTTAATTCCCTAAATTGGAGACACTATTATCTATAAAGATATTTTTCTGACAAATAATATAATGTTTTAAAATACACACCTGCATGTTGGTTCTTCATTTTAAATCGACTCCCAGTTTATATGTAAAAGGGACACCGCGTTGAACGTAAATGACGTATTTACACAAAAACGTTCCAAAATGATTTCAGATCTACTGATCTTTGACATAATATTACAACCAAAGTGATATAGCACACAAAATCAAATATTGATTGGACTTTTCGGTATTTTTTCAATCCAGTGCGCACTTGATTTTTTATTTTCGATCAGCTTTATATGGTTAATACCTCAGTGGTGCGCGGCCGTATCCTCAGGCGCTTAAAACCGAATATGCCAAAAAATCGATGCGATTGGAAATTCCCGACTTATTGAAACAAAATAATTGAGTAATAATCGGTGAGATTAATCCATTATGCACACAACGCTTTCGGCTTTAATAATTGTTTTTTACATTGCGTTCATAATTTGTTGCTGATCCTAAAGGGTGTTATTTCTTGGATGATTTTAAGAAAACAGTTTATATTGCTTTATTTTTGATATAGATGGCGTTGAAATATTTTAAATAAAGAGGTTTTTCTTCATTTTTATTGAAACTGGTTTAGATGTTTTGTTGAAAAAAAAAG